TGTGGGAGAAAATAGACCATTATGGACAGAAACCTTTATGTAGGCACTATTGAATTATAAAACCTATACATCCAATTTTATGCGATATTTTGTTGGTATATAGCACAGTTACAAATTTCTTTTGCTCAAGGACCCATAATGAAATTTGATGGAGAATATTTTTTCAATCGATAATTTGTCTCTAAAGTAGAGTTTTGGGGGAGAAATCGACTCCTTATGGAAAAATCTCTAAAAATAGGTAATATCGAATTATTAAAAATATATCCACATTTGAACTGACATTTTCATTTATATATGTTTGTTATAGTGATCTTAAATGTTCGGAAAGTTATAGTGGAATTTGTTGTAGAATATGTTTTTCTTTTATGTTATTCTTCTAGAGTGACGTTTTGTGGAAGAAATTAACCCGTTATGAAAACAACTCTGAAAATAACTACTATCAAATTATAGAAAATAAATATACAATTTTCGACTGATATTATGTGGATATATATTACATATACCGATTTATATTGTTCGGGAACCCATAGTTAAATTTGGTGAAGAATATTTGTTATATTCAGAGCTTTCTACTAAAGATGAGTGTTGTGGGAGAAAATAGCCCATTGTGAATAGAAGCCTTTAAATATTATAAATAATAAATATCCAATGTTTAACAGATATTTTTATACCCTTTCACCACACTGTGGTACAGGGTATTATGTCTTTGTGCATATGTTTGTAACAGGCAAAAGGAAACGAGATAGACACATGGTTCCTTTTGAGAATATACATAGAATCTCTTTCTAAGTCGATTTATGCAGGTCCTTACGCCCGTCTGTCCATGTTAAATTGTAAAAAAAGTACAGGTCGCATTTATGATCCGAATTGGATGACATTTGGCACAAGTCACTTATTTGGCCCAAGGACGAACCCCATTGAAATCCAAGAAAGTCAAATATATATATTTTCATCCGATTTAAGGTAAATGGGGCACCAAATTCCCTAAATATATTTTGATTTGCACGAAATTTGGCATAACGTACTGAATTGAGCCTAGAGCGATGTCTGATAAGTTTCGTAAAAATCGGTCCAGTTTTAGATATAGCTTCCATATACTGAATTGAGTCTAGAATAATGTGTGCAAAGTTTCGTAAAAATCTGTTCAGATTTAGATATAGCTCCCATATATATTTTCGTCCAATTTTACGTAAATGATGCACCAAAGTCCCTATATATCATTCCGATTTTATGTAAATGGTATACCAAAGTCCCGATATACAGTGGTGGTCACAGAATTAAAACATTTACTGTGGTAAACATTTTTTGATCAGCCCTCGATTCGTTTGAAGTATTTTTGAAAATTTTTTAATTCAGAACACTTCTATATACTGCACTTAAGAGATTTAGTGTGAAAATAGAAAAATTATTGCATGCAGTTTTTCCATAAATAACGGTTTTTATGAAAATACATCGACTTTGAAGTGGCCATATAATTAAAACATTGTGTGGGATTTTTTACTTTACTTCATTTTTTGAAAATATTTTTAGAAAAGCTCTTTAATTTAGTTCAATTATGTAAACTAAGCACCGATAAAATCATTTACAGATAAAATTTTTTGAAAAAATCTGTAAAATCTATCAAAATTTCCAAAAATGTGTACAGTACACCTTACATGCAGATAATCACCCTTATTATAGAAAATAAAAGTCCGAATGCACCAGAAACTGCTAGAATTAGTAGAAAACAATAAATAATTCTCAAAATAAATAAATATTTGAAATAAAAACTCAAAAAATGGGAATTAACCTAAGGGACCGATTCAATTTCAATACCCTTTACTGAAGAAGGCCGGAATATTTTTGCAGTATGTGAGAAAAAATCGATTGATATTGGTATTTATTATATCAAATCGACTGTTCGAGTAGTACAGAATATATTTTATCAAAAAATATATCTGTCAGAACAGAAGGAACTGAGATCAACGCCTAGGTTGACGAGTAAAAGTTTCTGGCACACAGCAGCATTTTTGATGTTCAACACAAGACTTCAAATATTTGTCAAACTGTAAAATTTATACTTCCTTGATACTAAAATAGATTAAGTGGAAGTTATTCGATTCAAAAAATATTATTTTGGAAAAAATATTGTCATGTTCAATAGATTTAAAGTGTCATGAGTTGACCATCAAACATGCTGCTGTGTGCCAGAAACTTTTACTCGTCAACCTAGGCGTTGATCTCTGTTCCTTCTGTTCTGACAGATATATTTTTTGATAAAATATATTCTGTACTACTCGAACAGTCGATTTGATATAATAAATACCAATATCAATCGATTTTTTCTCACATACTGCAAAAATATTCCGGCCTTCTTCAGTAAAGGCTATTGAAATTGAATCGGTCCCTTAGGTTAATTCCCATTTTTTGAGTTTTTATTTCAAATATTTATTTATTTTAAGAATTATTTATTGTTTTCTACTAATTCTAGCAATTTCTGGTGCATTCGGACCTTTATTTTCTATAATAAGGGTGATTATCTGAATGTAAGATGTACTGTACAAATTTTTGGTAATTTTGATAGATTTTACAGATTTTTTCAAAAAATTTTATCTGTAAATGATTTTATCGGTGCTTAGTTACATAATTTAACTAAATTAAAGAGCTTTTCTAAAAATATTTTCAAAAAATGCAGTAAAGTAAAAAATCCCACACAATGTTTTAATTATATGGCCACTTCAAAGTCGATGTATTTTCATAAAAACCGTTATTTATGGAAAAATTGCATGCAATAATTTTCTATTTTCACACTAAATCTCTTAAGTGCAGTATATAGAAGTGTTCTGAATTAAAAAATTTTCAAAAATACTTCAAACGAATCGAGGGCTGATCAAAAAATGTTTACCACAGTAAATGTTTTAATTCTGTGACCACCACTGTATATTTCGATTTGCACGAAATCTGGCATAGTTTCGTTAAGTCTAGAATCTTTCGATTTGGACGATATTTGGCAGTGCGTACTGAATTGAGTCTAGAATGATGTGTGCTAAGATTCGTGAAAATCGGTCCTGATTTATATATAGCTCCCAGTTCAGATTTGCGTCAGATTTAATAGAAATGGTGCACCAAAATTCTTATATATCTTTCGATTTGCAAAAATTTTAATTGAGTCTAGAATTATGTGTGCTAAGTTTCGTGAAAATCGGTTCAGATTTAGATTTAACTCCCATATTTATTTTCGTCCGATTTTATGTAAATGGTGCACTGAAGTCCATATATATCTTTCGATTTGCACGAAATTTGGCATAGCGTGGAATGATGTGCGACAAGCTTTGTGAAAATCGTTCCAGATTTATATACAGCTCTCATTTATATTTCGTCTGTGAAAATCGGTTCAATGAAATGCTAAGTTCCAGAAAGGCATAATGCTCACATATTCAAGTTCGTTCAATTTCTTTCTTTCGAAAAAGCGGAGTCTGTTAGGAGACATATGTAGAATATACCCAAAGTGGTGAAGGGTATTATATAGTCGGCCCAGTCAGAATTTACTACTTTCCTCGCTGGTTTTCAAGTAGCCAACAAGGCGTAGATTTTTTAAACAATATTTTTTTCAAGTAGCGATAGATGGAAAATCTGCCTACAGAAATTATAAATATTAGTCGATTTATGAATACAGCTCTCCCCATATTAAGGTCTATCCATCCCCATAGGTATTTTCTTGGCCCTACGTGCATTTTTGAGAAAATGTTGGCGAATTGAAAAAATGTTGGCCTTACGAAGTATTTACAATTTGTCATACTGGAACCTTGGAGGTTAAATAACTTCTGCACAGAACAATTTTAATAAAAGTTCTTCATAGCACCCACACAAAGATCTGGCATCATTTTTGGTATTTTCAAGTTTTTCCTATCTGGGAGTCTGTAGGTAGGTATCTCGCTTTCTTCTAGCAACAATTTACTATAGCATATACGGGGTCTATATTAAAGTCCCGACCGTTTTTTTTTTTTTTTTTGTTATTTTGAATCCCTGTTAACGTATGGTGGTGGGTGTAAAAATTCGGTCCTGCAGAATTTAGGGACGATTTTACTTATTTTGCTTAAAAAATATTTTTTTTTTATTATTTATGAAAATCCGTCTCAAAGGGTATATTCTTCCCGTGTAATGCAGAATATATCCATCTTACAATTTTCTATCTTTAGACAACCTTCATATTATAGAATACCTACAGAAGAAAGACCGAGGGACTATAAAATTCATGGATCTAAACAATGTGGTAATAAAACTGATCAGTTACTAAGCTAAATATCCGTTAACATTTTTTTCTAAAATATTTTGTATTTTTTCGATTTTTTTTCTGAGAATGTCTCACAAAGGTTCTGGAATTTCGAAGCGGAATGAAAATGCCACTAAAATCTCATCAAAACAAAATGTGACGTTATGATTGGAAATGTGTTCTCAATAACAACCCTTCCCTACTTAAAATCTCATATTCTATGATGGCTATTTTACAGTTAGGAAAACATTTTAAAAATATTCAAAATCGTTTCGAATATTGAAGAAAATTCTGAGAAGTCATTAAAAAAACACCCAAACAAATGGGAACAATCACAACAAAAGGGTGTCACTTCCCATTTCATCAACAATCAATAATAAGTGGATCAAATTTAACCAAAGTTAATTTTTAATAGTAAAAATAACCCTTTGTGTGTCTGTGTGTGCCTCACAGCGTCTAAGTCGGGCTTAGGGCCAATGTATGGGTGTGAAAAATACAATAAAACACACGAGCTGACCATGTGGGCCGGTCGTAAATCCGTTAACGACTAATTGAGATAAGATAAAGAAGCAACATAAAGAGAGAGAGAGAGAGGGGGGGGCGGTGCAAAACTGAATTTCCAATAAGAAAATATGTGTCTGAAAAACAGTTAACCCATTATGAATACTAAAGACCTAATTATAGTAGAACCTGGTCAGAATATTGAGTAGATTTTTATATTTATTTTTTCTATAAATACAACCTGAACATGAATTTGGGAAGCAGTCAAAACACAGACGACATTGAAAATAGACAAACGTTTCCACTCAACATGAAAAGATTTCTCTCGTTGCTACTACTTTTGGGTAGGTTCGAAAATATGGAAAATTTTAGTTTGATTTAATTCCAAATTCCCTTTCCTTCATTTTTAGGCCTAAGTTCCTACTCGCATGCCGTCTTAAAAGCCTGTGTCTGCGAAGCTGGCCCTGAGGGACCACCAGGACCAAAAGGTGACCCCGGCATCCAAGGTGAGAAGGGACATCCCGGCTATCCAGGCCTTCCCGGTGCCCAGGGGCCAATTGGTGCACAAGGTGTCAAAGGCCCCACTGGACCACAAGGTTTACAAGGTGTGAATAGAGGTGAACGTGGTCCACCCGGTCCACAGGGACCACCTGGTATATGCGTATGTCCCACAGCACGTGCTAGGGTAACACACATAAAAGCTTTTCCAGAGTCCACCAACACCATTTATATGAAAATGGAAAATGGCGAACTGACTCCGGTGCAGAAGGTACAACCCACAGCCGAACAGAGATCTTTAATTGAAGCATATCAAAGATCGATGGGACAAAAGTATTATGAAGATGATGATGATGATACTAAAAAATAATTAAAAAATTTTTAAGTTAAAAATAAATAAAATGTTAATATAATATATTTTGAAAGGGAATTATTTTGGGATATACGGGTATATCCAAGGATACGGATATAGCCAACAAGGCGTGAACTTTTTTAAAAAAATATCTTTTCAAGTAGCCAACAAGGCGTGGATTTTTTAAGAAAATATTTTTTCAAGTAGCCAGCAAGGCGTAGATTTTTAAGAAAATATTTTTTCAATTAGCCAACAAGGCGTGGATTTTTATAACATATTTCTGGAGATGGAACAAGTCGTGGATTTTTTGAAAAATATTTTTTTGGAGATGGCATGGACTTTTTAAAAAAATATTTTTTTTGAAAATGGAACAAGGACTTTTTTTTTTAAATACATTTTTTAAGTTAGGGTGGCGTAGGGAATGATATATACCAAGTAGCGGCTCTGATTACCTTTAATATGTCGAAGTCCAGGCTTATCTTGTTCCCCCTTTCATCTCAATTGTGGACCACCTGCGGTAGCTATTTTCATCACCCCTTGAATAGTGAGCTATTACGTGTCGCGAGTTCACCCATAAGAACTATAAAAAATGGGTTGAGGCGTCGGGTTAGTTGCCCACACACACCCCCCTAATGTTGACGAACCCCCTAAATGTATAAAGGACCACGACCTGCGAATCTGCACTTGGAATGTGCGCACGTTGTACAGAACAGGCGCAGTTTTCGCTTTGGCGGATGTTCTGAAGGAGTACAAAGCCGATATTATTGCCTTACAGGAAATTCGATGGAAAGGGACAGGCGTAGCTATCATGAAACGAGGCATGAATTTGGCTGCGGATTTATGGTTAACAGGAAAATAAAAGACCTCATCTCCAGATTCACTCCAGTAGATGAGCGAATTGCTATAATCCGCATAAAAGAGAAGTTATTCTACATAAGTCTTGCGCCCATGCTCCGACCGAAGACAAAGATGAACAGATCAAAGACATATTTTATGAGCGCCTAGAAACAGCATATGATCGCTGCCCTGGCCATGGCATTAAAATTCTGCTAGGAGCTTTTAATGGAAAAATTCGGAAGGGAAAATATCTTTGTCCCCACCGTCGGAAAATTCAGCCTTCATAAAGAAACATCCGACAACGGCATGAGGTTGATTGACTTCGCGGCAGCAAAAAACATGGTAGTTAGTTGTGTAGTTACTCCGCTCAACAGAGAGCGTGCTGAGGATCTGGAAGGACCATTTAAAAAAAAAAAACTTCTGGTATCAAATAGTAGCGGTGAAGAGGATACCCCAGAACCAATAATAGATGACGGTATAGAGTGTTTACCACCTAGCCAAGATGAGGTCAGAATAGCAATCAATCGGCTGAAGAATAATAAAGCAGCAGGTGCCGATGGGTTACAAGCCGAACTATCTAAGACTGGGGGTCAGATGATGGTAAGGAGCATCCACCAGCTAATTAGTACAATTTGGCTAGAGGAATGCATGCCCAAGACGATATGTGTCAACTATAGAGGAATAAGTCTCCTTCCCACCGCACATAAAGTGCTATCCAGCGTGCTGTGTGAACGACTGAGGTCAACGGTCAATGAAATTATTGGACCATACCAATGCAGCTTCAGGCCTGGCAAGTCCACCATTGACCAGTTTTTCACTTTGCGCCAAATCCTGGAAAAAACCAAGAAAAACACATCAACACATTCGGCTTTATATTCGACGAATAGGACTATAAAGCCGCATTCGACAGCCCTATCCGTTCAGAAGTGTTTAAAGCCATGTCGGCGTTTGGCATTCCTGCAAAATTATTTCGGCTATGCAGGATAACTTTAACTGGCACAAGATCAGCAGTTAAAGTCGGAAAGGACCTATCGGAGCTCTTTAATACCGAATAAGGATTCTGACAATGTGACAGTTTGTCGTGTAGCCTTTTTAAAATCCTGCTGGAAAAGGTCATACGAGAGGCAAGCGTGAACAGAAATGGCACTCTGTACACCAAACAACACATGTTACTCACCTACGCCGCCGATGACATCGATATAATGGATCGAACATTGCGAGCGGTGGCAGCTACCTTTGAACGAATTGAGAAGGAGTCTGCCAAAGTGGTGGGTCTGGCAGTAAACGGCGAGAAGACCAAGCTGATGGTATCAACGCGCAAGACGTCCAGTAGACTCGGACCAACTGTGGAACTTGAAAACTACAGCTTCGAGGTAGTTAAAGATTTTATATACCTTGGTTCAGCCATAAATAAAACGAATGACATCAGTTTTGAAATTCGGAGAAGGATTGTGATGGCCAACAGATGCTACTAGGGTCTAAGTAAGCAGTTTAGAATCAAGGCCACCTCCCGCCAGACCAAACTCACCCTTTATAAGACGCTGAAACTTACCGTGCTGTCATATGGATCTGAAGGATAAGTACCCATGCTGGCACAAGCAGATGAGGCAGCTCTTGGGATGTTTGAAAGAAAAATTCTCCGAAAGATCTATGGGCCGATCTGCATCGACGGTGAATATCGGCGTCGATTGAACCACGAGCTTTACAATTTATACACGGACATCGACATTGTTAGACGTATTGAGCTGCAGCGACTACGATGGCTAGGCCATGTTGTGCGAATGAATGAGAATGCCCCAGCTCAAAAGGCATATAAAAGCGAGCCTACTGATGGTTCCCGTAGAAGGGGAAGGCCACGAATAAGATGGAAATACCAAGTAGAAAATAACATCTTGGAACGTGGCATTTCAAATAGGTGGAATGCGCAAAAGACCGACACGCTTGCAAATCTTTTTATACCCTTCACCACACTGTGGTACAGGGTATAATACCCTTTGTGCATATGTTTGTAACAGGCAAAAGGAAACGAGATAGACACATGGTTCCTTTTGAGAATATGCATAGAATCACTTTCTGAGTCGATTTATGCATGTCCGTCCGTCTGTAGATGTTAAATTGTAAACAAAGTACAGGTCGCATTTATGATCCGATTTGGATGAAATTTGGCACAAGTCACTTATTCGGCCCAAGGACGAACCCTATTGAAATTGGGAAAAAATCGGTTCAGATTTAGATATAGCTCCCATACATATTTTCGTCCGATATAGGCACCAATGTACCTATATATCTTTCGATTTGCACGAAATTTGGCATAGCGTACTGAAATAGGTCCATAATGATGTGTGCAAAGTTTCGTGAAAATCGGTTCAGATTTAGATATAGCTCCCATATATGTTTTCGTCCGATTTAAGGTAAATGTGGCACCAAAGTACCTATATATATTTCGATTTGCAAGAAATTTGGCATAGCGTACTGAATTAGGTCCAGAATGATGTGTGCTAAGTTTTGTGAAAATCGGTTCAGATAGAGATATAGCTCCCATATATATATTCGTCCGATTTAAGGTAAACGGGGCACCAAAGTACCTATATAACTTTCGATTTACACGAAATTCGGCACAGCGTGCTGAATAAGGTCCAGAATGATGTGTGCTAAGTTTCGTGAAAATCGGTTCAGATTTAGATATAGCTCCCATATATATTTTCGACCGATTTTAAGTAAATAGTGCACCAAATTCCCTATATATTCTTTGATTTGCACGAAATTTGGCACAGCGTAATGAATTAAGTCTGGAACGATGTGTGTAAAATTTCGTGAAAATCGGTTCAGATTTAGATATAGCTCCCATATATATTTTCGTCCGATTTTAGGTAAATAGTGCACCAAAGTCCCTATATATCGTTCGATTTGCACGAAATTTGGCATAGCATTCTGAATTAAATCTAGAACGATGTGTGTTAAATTTCGTGAATATCGGTTCAGATTTAGATATAGCTCCCATATATATTTTCGTCCGATTTTAGTTAAATAGTGCACCAAAGTCCCTATATATTCTTTGATTTGCACGAAATTTGGCACAGCGTACTAAATTAAGTCTAGAACGATGTGTGTTAAATTTCGTGAAAATCGGTTCAGATTTAGATATAGCTTCCATATATATTTTTGCCAGATTTTTTGTAAATGGTGCACCAAAGACCCTATATACCCTTCCATTTGCACGAAATTTGGATTTATATGTAAATGAGGAACTCAAAATGTGGCCGAAGATGTGACAAGTTTTGATGAAATCGGTTTAGATTTCGATATTTTGCTTTAAATTTATTTACATAATTTTGTCCCATTGTAAGAAGCAACTCTATATCTGATCAATATTTAGTATAGGTTGCAGAATGACATGTTTAATTTCATGTTAGTGGCCCTTCAAAAATGCGACGTCTGTTAGGATCCCATCTGTTGAATATACCAAAAGTGGTGAAGGGTAGAATATAGTCGGCCCCGTCCGACTTTACTAGTTTCCTTACTGGTTTAAGCTCGGCTTATGGAACGACCGTTCTGTAACAAGCCAGCTAAGACAAGGTGTGGATTTATTTAAAAAATATTTTTTGAAAATGAAAAAAGGCACGGATTTAAAAAAATGTTTTTTTTTCAAGAAACCATAAAAAATTTTACGGGCAAGGCACCGGTTTGACCCCCTTCTCAGGTGTCCCATTTTAATACCCATTACCTCACAATAACAGCAAAAGATAGGTGCTAAAGAGTCTACCCAATTGGAATAAAATGTGATTATTCTAATTGGAAACAGAACAATGGATAGCCCGATAACACAACGGTACACATGATGATGTCTCACATTTCATCATTCAGCAAAACCATGGATCAAGTGGACATTGAATGGTCACAATGTGTGTGTGTGGGTAAATGAAGCAATTCACTCACACACATACGAGGGCAGAAGCTATAAAACTCGGCTTAGAACCATTTATCGATAAAGAAAAAACACAAAACATAGACCATAAATTATTTACGACTGATGGAGACAAGTTAGTGGGAGAGGAGGAGGGGAGGGGAAATTGAGAAAAGCCCATTTTCATTGACACACATTGACCAAAATCGGATTTTTTGGAAATATGAATGGAAATTGGTAATTATGACAATCATACCCTAAAGAAGGTGTAATATAAAATAGGCGGCAGATAGATTTTGAAAATTAGTAACATTTTAGTCGTAGCAGAGCAAACAACAAAATTTATGAAATAAAAAAAAAAAATACTTTTTTTCTAAACATGAAAATATTGCT